TTTATCCAATATTCTTCTCTCAAGGTTAAGTTCATATATAGATGAAATTATTGGGGATCATGAGTGTGGGTTTTGATGTAACAGATCAACTACAGATCAGATCTTTTGCATTTGTCAGATATTGGAGAGAAAATGGGAGTGCGATGAGACAGTATATCAGCTATTCATAGACTTCAAGAAAGCCTATGATTCAGTTAGGAAGGAAGTATTGTGCGATATTCTGATAGAGTTTGGGATACCCATGAAACTAGTTAGGTTGATTTAAATGTGTTTAAACGAAACGTATAGTAAAGTCCATGTAGGTAAACATTTGTCTGATAAATTTCCTGTCCAGAATGGTCTAGAACAAGGAGATGCTTTATTGCTGCTCCTTTTCATCTTTGCTTTAGAATATGCCATTAGGAAGGTCCAGGGAAACCAGGTGGGACTGAGATTAAACGGGACACATCAGCTGTTGGCCTATGCCAATGATGTGAATCTACTGGGTGACAATGTAAATGCAATAAAGAAAAACACAAACTTTAATTGACGCAAATTAGGAGGTTGGTCTGGAAGTAAATAGAGAGAAAACTGAGTATATTATGCTGTCTCGTCACTAAATTGCAGGGCAAAATCATGACAAAGATAGGAAACAGATGTTTTGAAAATGTGGCACATTTCAGATATTTGGGAATGACAATAACAAATCAAAAGAATATACAAAACTATAATTTTGCCTGTGGTTCTGTGTGGGTGTCAGACTTGGTCTCTGACATTAAGGGAGGCGCATAGACTGAGGGTGTTTGAGAACAGGATGTTGAGGAGAATATTTGGACCGAAGAGAGATGAAGTGACAGGAGGTTGGAGAAAACTGCATAATGAGGAGCTTCATAACTTGTACTCTTCTCAGAGTATAATTAGAATGATCAAGTGAAGGAGGAGTAGGTGGGCAGGTCATGTAGCACAAATGGGGGTGACGAATGCATATAGGATATTGGTGGGAAAGCCAGAAAGAAAGAGACCACAGGGAAGATCAAGGTGTAGGTGGGTGGACAATATTAGAATGGATCTTGGAGAGATAGGATGGGATGGTATGGATTGGATAGATCTGGCTCAGGATAGGGACCAGTGGAGGGCTCTTGTGAACATGGTGATGAACCTTCGGGTTCCATAAAATGCTGGGAAATTCTTGAGTAGCTGCAGAATTGGCAGCTCCTCCAGAAGGGCTCAGCTCCATGAGTAAGTAAGTAAGTAAGTAATAAGGTATTATTTGCAGACGACACCAGTATTATAGTAACTGACACCAAGAAGTTAAACTTTGAAATAAATCTTAATCAGACTTTCAAAGATATAAATACATGGTTTAATGCTAATTTGCTTACCTTGAATTTTAATAAGACTCAATATGTCGAGTTTTGACCTATGAATTACTATAATATCAGTACTCGTATTAACTGTGATCAGATAAATTTAACAAATGTGAGTGAAACAAAATTTCTGGGATTAATTATTGATGATACTCGTTCATGGAAACAGCATATTGATTGTGTTATTAATAAAATTTCTGTTGCATGTTATGAATTGAGAAATATAAAATATATTGTCCCTTTAGATACATTAAAGCTAATTTATTTTGCTATATACATTCTGTCATAAGTTATGGTATAATTTTTTGGGGTGCCTCTACTTGTGTTAACAACATTTTTATATTGCAAAAGAAATTAGTTAGAATTATAACAAATTCTAGACCAAGAGAGTCTTCTAAGGAGATTTTTAGAATTTTGAAATAATGACGTTCTGTTCTCAGTACATATATCATTACTTTTATACACAATTAATAAGAAACATTTATTTAATTTTAACAATGAGATTCACAAATACAAAAGTAGAGCCCTCAATAATTTATATTTACCTGCAGTTAACCTAACAAAATACAATAAAGGTGCATACATATCAGGTATTAAAGTTTTTAATCATCTTCCTCAAACAGTAAAAATGTTGACTACTGATGTGAGAAGTTTTAAATCTGGATTGAAGAGGTTTTTACATAATCATTCTTTTTTTTTCCATGAATGAATATTATCAACATAATTGGTCATAAGTGTGTACATTTCAGATGTATTTAATTCACTTAATATAGGCAATTTAAATAAAATTGTATTAATTAAAGTTTTATAGTAAGTTATTTTAAATTATTTTATTAAATTTATACTTTATATTATTTTTATGTTAATCAATTAATGTAAGTGATTTTGATTATGTGACTCATGTAATTTTGTATATGTATCTTGATATATCTATTTTCAAAGGGACAATTTCTACATCCTAGGTTTGTTACTTGTATGGATATATGGAAAATAAAAGGAATGAATGAACGAACGAACGAACTTACTGAGAGCTTTACAGTTTTAAAAGCAGGATTGAACAGTAAACAGCTCATGATATACACATATTGCAAACAGTGAAGTTAGAAATTAGACAAACTATAAATTTTTGTCAGTTCTGAAAGGTATCATATATTGCACATGCATAAATGAGACACTTGAATAATTTGCTGGTGTGCATTAATTGTTTTCCAGTATGTGTACTGGCTAAAGGAAAAGTGGGAGTAGTCATAAAGGTATTGGTATTTTGCTGTAATTTGCATGAATTTGGTATTTCGTTGATGTATGATAGCCATGAACCAAACTAGAAGTATTTGAAAAGAAAATACTATGAAAAAGATATGACCCCATTAATGAGAATGGCACATGGTTGATTAGATAAAACCATGAATTATACTAGCTATGGAGGAAATTAAGAGGCGATTGAACTTGGGTAATGCTTGCTACCATTCAGTCCAGAACCTTTTGTCTTCTCATTTGTTGTCCGAAAACATAAAAATTAGAATATACAAAACTATAATTTTGCCTGTGGTTCTGTATGGGTGTCAGACTTGGTCTCTGACATTAAGGGAGGAACATAGACTGAGGGTGTTTGAGAACTGGGTGTTGAGGAGAATATTTGGACCGAAGAGAGATGAAGTGACAGAAGGTTGGAGAAAACTGCATAATGAGGAGCTTCATAACTTGTACTCTTCTCAGAGTATAATTAGAATGATCAAGTGAAGGAGGATTAGGTGGGCAGGTCATGTAGCACAAATGGGGGTGACGAGGAATGCGTATAGGATATTGGTGGGAAAGCCAGAAGGAAAGAGACCACAGGGAAGATGAAGGCGTAGGTGGGTGGACAATATTAGAATGGATCTTGGAGAGATAGGATGGGATGGTATGGATTGGATATATCTGGCTCAGGATAGGGACCAATGGAGGGCTCTTGTGAACACGGTGATGGACCTTCGGGTTCTATAAAATTCTTGAGTAGCTGCAGAATTGGTGGCTCCTCCAGAAGGGCTCAGCTCCATAAGTAAGTAAGATATGATGAACCCAACATATCCAAACTGGGGGAGGCAGGAAGACAGGTGGCTGAGATACTTGCCTAGAACAAATGGAACAAATCGCTGCAAGAAACTAATGTTCGCCAAGAGAAAGACACTGGAAAAGTGGGGAGACAGTCAATAGGAATTTAAGAACTCTCCAAATTTGAAGTTGAAAGGAAATGGCGCTGGAAAGGGTCCATTTCAGAGACATCATTGTGGTGGCCAAGGCCTGCAACAGGCTGTAGTGCCTTTCATGATAATGATGATAGCCATAATTGTTACCTACTATGATGCAGACTGCATTGGATATTGTCATGCAAGATGTTATGCCATATTACTTCACATACAAGACACCCTTGAATTAAGATGCATCCAGTTTTTAAGTGTGGGTTTTAGGAAAACAGTTTGAAAGATGCATATTTTTCAAATTTATGACATACATCAATTTTTTATTGGGGAAAAACGTGTAAAATGTGTCTTATACAGGTATTGAATTATATTGGTGGTCACACTGTGTATAGTGGCAGCCAGAATAAGCAACAGACTCAACATGAATCACTAGAGGACAGAACAAATAAGTTGCTATATCATATATTTCTTCAGGATTGTTCCAGCATGAAAGAAGTTGTTACTGAAATGCACCCAGTGCAGGAAATTGATATACAGTGTAATAAAAGTTGCTATTTGACCATTGCTTGTTATTAGTTACTTTGGTATGAATCCTTCTGTTAGAAAAGTTACTTCTATCTAAATGGTAATGGAATATGTTATAGGCGGTTGACTTGTAAGGCTCTGCATGCGCCAAGCTATAAATCACATGGAATTGAATACCTTAAAGGCTGTAAGGAGCTTGGAGGGAAGATTTTACACATTCTCAGTCTCAGCTTCACACCCCAGTGGTTCACCTGTGGCACCTATTCACTCTGTAGACGTATATTTGGAGAAGCTAAAAGACATGTTTTTCCTTGTATTCAAAACTGTTGCTTTGTAACAGACTGAAACTCTGTAGTGTATTATTATTATTTTTATTATTCTGTTGATCCATACTGGTACAACCATTGGATATAGAAAAGTAAAAAATACAAGACGGTACACAGAGTTCAAAGCATTTGATTTTATTCAGGATTTCCTGCTACCTTCTCTTTTCAAAGGCCTTATGCAAAATGCATGGTGGGTGAGTTCATTGTCACCACTGCATGGAGTTTCCAGAAACTGCAGTTGAAGAAGATAGCAATTTCAGATATGGAGATTAGCTCCCAAGTTTTTGACAAAAGGTGGTCCTCCCTCTAGCTTGGTTGTTGTAGGGTTCTTACTGTTAATGAAAGCCTAAGATTTCTCAGAGAACCTCAGACTTTGTGATTTGTTATTCATGCTACAGAACTGGCACTTTTGACTGCCTGATTAATGAATAATCTCTCATATAATGTGTCCCTTTTTTCTACTTTGTCTTAGTAGAACATGACTTGATCTTGTACTTGTGTTACAGATACTATCCAATATATCATTATCATTCTGCTTTCCTACATTATGCAGATCTGTGGTGGAACTCATAGTGCATACTTTATTATGGTGAAAAGTACAGGATGCACCATTGATTTTTAAGGAAACTCTTTGTTGTCAGGAGCCTCTGGGAGTGCAGAACTACCCCAGTGGGTCATGCAGTAATGGACCAGAGCCAACAGTGTCACCAGGTGCAGCAGCTGCAGCGGCAGTGGCGGTGGTGGCACAGGGGTTGAGACAACAGATGTGCAGTATGGTGGCTGCTGCCCAGCACAATGCCTCTCTCTCTGGTGATGCTGGTGTAGGGCTAGTGAACAGCCTGGGTGGACTGGTAGGGCACTGCAACAGCTTGGGGCTCCCCAGCAATGGCACCACGCATGGTGGAATGCCTGGGCTTGGCTTGGCCAGTCCACTGGGCTCCAGCCTTCGTGTTTCAAGTCCTGTGGGCTCAGAATTGAGGGCAGGCAGTCCGGCAGAATCAGCGGCTGCCAGTCCCATACCATCACCGCTGGGAGGCGGGAGCAGTGGAGCTACACCCACCCCAACAACACCAAGTGGTGCTTTGAGTAGCGTGGAAGTAGGAATTGGCATGAGTGGTATGACCTACAAGCCTACAGCTACCTTCACCTCTCCTCGACCTGAAAATCTCTTCCAAGAAGATATTGAAGACATTGTGAAGAGCCCACAGTTGGGTTCCCCAGACAGCCTTGTTAAAGAGCCCAAGGAAAGCATCACTGTAAAGGTGGAACCCATCATTGGCAGCCCACATGAGTAGAGCATGCAAGTATTGATTTATATTGTGATATACAATATAGAGTAGTTTTAGAAATATACAGATGTTAGGAAAAAATTATATCATGAAAAATGACCCATTTTGCAGCCTGATTTGGCAAGGTCCAAAAAAAGACTTGTTTATGCTAGCAGAATTATAGAAATATAAAAATGTAATAAACTTCCAAAAATATATAGAAGACTAAGACTTCCTAAGAACTTGAGTTGAATATATAAATTCTAGTGCCATTAATTTCAACAAAACATGTGTAACTGATTATGGTATGCAAGGTTAATGTTTTAGTGTCAATAATGTACATGTAGCACCCCCATACTGTGCTGAATATAGAAGTTCTGTAGTGATCCTTAGCCTGACCTCTCAGTTCATTGAGCTCTATCAGAATTAGACTTTATGTTACAGAAAATAAGCAGCATACTTAATTTTGACTAGAAGTGCTTCTCATCCATGTTGTCAGCCATAGTAATCTTATAAACACACCTAGGCTAGGGATAGGTTGCTTGTCTTTAAAAAGGAATGTGTGTGCTGCATCATTTCCAATGATTTCAGTACAAACACTCTGTTAAGAGAATATAATGCAATCAGTGTTTTGTTTCACAGAGCTCTGTAGTGAGAGACATCAGCTGATAGTTAAATCTTATGTCTCAGTTTCACAAGTATCATGTTGTATACTTTGTACAGTATTGTAGAGTTTGTATCTGTATGTTAAATTATTTGCATAATTTCACATTATTTTGACAGATTTTTCTGGTGTTTGAAATTGAAATGTGAGGTATATAGATATATGCACACAGTACAGGGAAATCTTAATAATTTAAGAAGTGTGCTTACTGTTGGAGATTGTTCATTTCAAGAATAATATTCTCACCAAGTGAGGGAAAGCAAGGTCAGAGCAGAAGTTACAGAATGTATAGAATATATATTTTGTGAATAGAGTGTATGAGAAATGATATAATGTGTGGTGTGTTTTCCATGTTTCTTAGTAGTGGCAGGCCTTGCTGTTGGCCAGTTGAAAGTCTGGGTGTCCAGTAGCAAGTATCAATGTATTGTGTTGTCTCCATTTACTGTATGCATCATATATAGAATTGTTTCTGCCCTTCTGTAAATGCCAGTATAGTCTAGTCAAAACTAGCTTAAAGTGAATCACAAAGTATATCAATACTTATTTTTGTGATTTCATTGTTTAGGAATGATGTACAAAATTTATATGTAGTTATTAAAAATGCCTTCCTGCCTGCCATTGGGGTATGCCAAGATTGAATTGAAGACATTGTTGACACACACACAAACATAAGAAGAAGTGATAAAAAGTAAATTATAATGAAGTGGCCTTGAAATTCGTTTTGCTTATTAAATCAGTTAAAAATAAAATAGCTATTTAAAAAGTGGTACCGTGAATTTGTAGACAACCCTATTCTTGATAAATAAGTTTTTTGCATAAGAAATTTGTATACTTAGTGGACGCAAGCAATTTACCTAGCATTCATCAACTTGTGCCTATTGTGAATGTTTTCATGAATAGGTTGTACTGCAAAGTTCACGCAAAAATGTAAGTAGAAATGAATGTCCATTGTTGTTAGTATTCTTGGCTTACATGTGTTCAAAAAGTAGTAAAGTGCCTTCCATTTTTCTGACCACTTGACAATGTGATCAAATCATGTCAACACATTTTAATTGAGTACTCTTCTAGTGAAGTCTAAAATACAGAAAAACCATGCAACATTTTGGTAACCGGTATCACCCTAAATGGCACATTTATTTCATATCCATAGTTATCGGATGGCTGCGTAAATTTCTGGCACTGGAAATACAACCTTGTTACACATCAAATGCTAAGTATTAGAATAGTATATTGATGCAATAATTATGATAATGTCATGTGTCATGTTACTGTTTTGTAGTAGAGTTCAAGAGATGACATATTGTGGCTTAGAAATCATGTACAGTACCTTGAAACATTTGTCAACTTAAAGTTTTATTAGTGTCATATTTATTTCAGCTTCCACCCTATCTGCTTGCTTTCCATGAACAACTTGACATGTGTCTGACAATCTGATATGATTTTTTCATATCAGTTTTGTTCACAAATTATTTTCCTGCCTACTACTAAGTAGCTTGGTCCATTCTCCCAAATCTGTTGCCCTCCACCCCCCCCCAAAATTTTTTGGCAGCCTGACATACAAATTCACTAAGAACTAGAGTCCCTTAAATGTTTAAAGTGATATTTACGAAGCTACAGAATGTATGCCTAGTGTAAAATGGGTGTTTCAGTTTCACTTTAGCTTTTGATCCAAGAATACTTCAGTCTGATAAATGTGTAGCCAGTTAAGCCTTAGTTCACACTAAGATGCACAGGGAAACATGTGTAAAGGTTTGGCCATGCAGAGCGCTACGTACGCTATGTTCGCTATATGAACAGAAAAATAGCTCCCTTTATTGCCAATGTTACTGGCCACACAGACTTCCGTACGCTATGTTCCCTATGTTACCTGCGTCGCAGAGTGTACACAGTGTACGTCGCGAACATAGCGTAGCGCTCTGTATGGCCAAACCTTAAGCCTTCATATCAGAGTCTGTGATTATAGTTCAGTTTTAATCTAAAACTGGAATGCGGTAACAAATATTAGATAAACTATTTAAGGCAAAATTTGAATTAAATCCCCCCCATGATGCAGGGCAGTTTCTGCCATAAAAGTACTATGTTGTATTTGAGGTTCTCACGGCAGTGACTCTGAAGAGTATGGTCTTGTGGGTCGTCACAGTATGTAGTTCGAGAGCCTAACGTTTTGGTGGGACATAAGGCCTCCACCTTCACGGTCAATGAGTAAACCAAGTAAGAAACCAGCATAAGCTGAGCATAATCAAATTTAGGCCTACTAAAGAGATTTGTTGTAGGCTATTTTAAGTTAGATTTCTGTTAGCCCAGCATTTTCTTACAAAGACTGAGGAGAACTGGGAAGGACTGTGATCATAGTCAGTCTGGGGTTAAGATTTGAATCCAAGATTGGTGTTTCTGTTGACGATGAATGGGAAGAGTATGGTAAAGAAAATGAATGCATTCTTGAAGAATACAACTCTCTAGGTTGTAATGCTGTGCAATTCAGAGGAGCCTCAGTGTGCAGTGCACTTCTTTTGCTTTCTTGTTTGGCTTCCTTTTGACCTTGAAGATGGGGGTAGTTTGTTCCTCTGAAACATCAGGCTGTGTCTGAACTACAGGGCATTGTAACCCAGAAGACTGTACTCTTCATAAAACTGTTAGTTTCTATAGTCACTGAAGGCAGTATTAGTTTTCTTCATACTCCAATTTTTTTCATGAGAAGTTACTGATACATTGTTCTTTGCAGAGATGTCATGAGTCACTTTGTTTACAGTTAACTTTATGGGAATACTTCAGCTTCGGTCAGATTCCAGATTCAAAGTCCCTCCTCGTGATCTTAAAGTTTGAGCCAGATTTTTTTCCCATTCTTTGTATTACTTATTTTGATCTATTTTGTGTGTATTATAATTTATTTATTTATTTGTGTATTTATTTATTTATTTTTCACAACTTATCACTTGGAGTTGACTGCCACTTTCACTTTCCAGATGCAAGTATGTTATTTGATCTTGTCTTTTTACCTAGAAACATTGTCTTTGTCTAGTTTAATACTGGGATATTCAATACCAATTTTTGTAGCAGTTTGTTCTCACAAGTCTGGATTTCATGTGAAGTTCCAAATGCTTTTTCTCCTTTTATTCTCATAAAGAAAAGCCAGACAGAATGAATTGAAAGGTGGGTGGTTTGTGCTAGTTTATATGAGGACACTGTGAATTGCAGATGTTATTTGTTGTCAATTGATAATGAAAAAATAGTCATTTTTGGTGAACTTGAAAGAACAATAGAAGTACTTGTAGTTGATTTCAAGATTAGCTTGGCATATACCTGCAGGGATTGGGGAAAATCACAGAAAACATCAATCATGATAATAGCATTTTATCTGAGGTTTGAACTGGACACCTCTCAAATACAAGTCAGAAGTATTATCATGTGAGCCACTTTGCTTGGCTTATTAATAAGAGCATTATTTGAATTTGATGTTCTCACAGTGGTGACTGTGAAGAGTATGACATTCTGGTTTGTAGCAGCATGTAGTTCAGCAGAAGTCCAGTGACATTTCAGAGGACTTCTTTCGAACTATGCAGCATTGAAACCCAGAAGATCATACTCTTAAAGAGCATTATTGCTTGCTGTGAGAAACTGGAAACTACTCCACACTACTCTGATATGCTTTCTGTTTTAGCTAGTTCATCCTGAATCAATTGAATTCAGTCCACACTTCTATGCCCTATTTCTTTAAGATCCATCTTAATGTGTTACTGATGAAATAGCAATCATATTGCCAACAAAGTCTTCTTACACATTATAAAATTTTGTTATTTATATATTACTTTTACTGCAAAAGGATAATAGAAAATCCTTGCCTGCAGTTGTGTTTGAGTAAGGCTATTACAATGTTTAAGGAATTATTTACGAAGGATATTTGGAAAGTAACCTCCAGTGAGCTGTTAAGAAAACAAGCAATGAGAAAAGTTTTATTATCTACAAAAAATGTACATACTTAAGCTGTTTCTTAACACAGTGACTGCTGGAACTGAGGTACTTGTCATATTGGGGAATAAGTTTTTGTATGCATGTGTCAAGGAAATCTGTCACCTGTGAGCTCAACCACATTTTGACAACATCCATGAGCTTCTCATTATTTTTGAAGCACTATGATCCCACCCAGTTCATGAGGTAGGTAAACAGGTTGCCGTTGCTCAGAGCAAGATTAGGGCTGTAAGGAGGGTTGTCAGGCAGTTCCCAGCAGAAATGCTCAAGCAGCGCTCAGGTGCAACCTGCTGTTTGCAGACATGCATCGTCATGGAGGAGCACCACAACAGCATTCCTTTCCTGCCCCAGAAAACAGTTGCCTTGAGCTTTCTGGCAGATGTTTTTTAAACTTTTTTGGCCTGTTTGGTGAATGTGTGTGCATCCACTGCTGGTTTTAATGCTCTTTTGTTTCAACATTCACAAATAAAAGTCAGGTTTCATAACCTGTTACTCATATGATGTGACTGAGAAATTCATCGACGTCTTTGTGTTATCACTCTAGAAGAAGTCAAAACTGATGTCATTCTCTGCGTTTTGTGCACACCCTTGAGAATATTTGGAACAAATTTTGCAGAAAACTTGTGATTGCGTATCATTACTGTGATAACCTCGTAGAGAAGAGTGCATGAAATTTGTTGAAATTCACACAAAAGTTCTGAAAATGTGAAGTGCAACTTTTCATGAATCTTTTGGATAACACTTTGAGCCAGATCATCACTCACTACAGATGCTGGCCACTTCATTGTTCACCCATCTTTGAACATTCTGTACCGTTGTGTTACAGCTCCTTTCCTCATTACAATTTTCCCATAAACCACTCATAATTCATGATGGATTTCCACAGCACTAGTGTTTTTAATGTCAAGAAAGTGGATAACAGCGAATTTCGCAGCTGGCACAATCACAAGACACAACATAACTCACTCCTAGAGACAAGAACAAACACTAGATGACCATTTATATGATGGTTTGCAAGGCAGTGAGTCTTGTGACACTACCTCATGTGCGTGAGCTCTCCCAAGCTCCTACATCACTTGCCTAAAATCAATAGAGGTTACTTTCCAAATAGCCCTTGTATTTGCATAAGGTTATATCTGTTTAATAAAACGGTCATTAATAACTGACTAGAAGTATATTTAATTGCCAAATAAGTTGGGTTTCAGTACTCATGTCAAGTCTCCCATTATGAAAGCTGCATGCCACATTTGGTTTATTTTCAAAACTCACAATATAGTCTTCCTTCCCATCAGAATGTGTGATAAAGCATATGGAATCATACATTAGTGCAGTTCAATGTGTAGTTCCCCCCACCCCTTTTTTTTTGCGTTTGCGTGCATGTGTGTATGTCCATAATACCCACTGGCATGCTCTGGCAACTACAGAACATCCTCCTGCTTGGGTAAAATTGCCTGTTTTACTGGCTATGAAATTTCATTGGATTGAAATCTGTATTTACTTGTTGATAACAGTTGTGCAAGCATTATACTACACATAAGTTGTGTGGTAATTTCCAGGCATTAATTTTGAAGTATTTAGTTTAATTTTATATAGGTATTTAGAGTAGACAAAGCCAGTTGTTGCCCAAGTGGGTTAATCTCTCACAGATATGACAAGAACTATTATCGTAGTACAACAATCCCTCACATAGTCCGGGTAATATGTTGTGCCAATATCCCAGACTGTTTGAAACAAGACTAATCGAGGAACTACGAAAGAAAATTCTCCATTTTTCAATAAATAAAACGCAATTAATAAATTCAAATGTCTTTATTAGAAATAATCTTAAAAAATTCATGTTTTTCGCAATTCATTTTTTATTCTACACATTTTTCTTTTTTGACCTTTTCTCTTCATACATTTCTTTGTAGCAACAAATTGCATTGTTTGTCGTTCAGCGAATTGTAAGGCTATGTTCAATATTGGGATCAACTTCCATAATATGCTCTGACAAGGTTTCAACCATTCCAATAATTTGTGATAGTTGTTCAGCTGTTAATTCTTGTGCAGGCACTTCAACACAGTCGTCGTTGTCTAAGTTGTCCTTCT